TTTGCGGGAAGCCTGCTTCTCCCTCTCCCTCTGCCCCTGCTTGTGTTCCCTCTCTCGCTGTGTTTCTCTCTCTGTCAAATAAATAAAATCTTTAAAAAAACAAAAACAGTAACAACAGCAAACACTAGGAACAGGAGGATTTGGTTTCCGTAGTTGTCACATTGTAATATTTTACAAAATCTTCAACTAAAAATTAAAAGACACACAAAGAAACAGGGAGGTATGGCCTATACAGAAGAAAAATAAAAGCAGTCAATAGACACTGCCCCTGAGGAAGCCCAGACATTGGGCTTACTAGACAAAGAGTTTAAATCAGCTTTTATAAGTATGTTCCAAAAAATAAAGGAAACCATATATAAAGACTTAAAGTAAGAAAACAATGTCTCATCACAAAGAGAATATCTAATAAAAAGATGGAAATTATATAAAGAAAATAGAAATTCCTGAGCAATAACTGAAATGAAAAATTGGTAGGAGACTCAGCAAATTCGAAGACAAGTCAATTGAAATGATTTACCTGAGAAGCAGAAAAATAAAAAATGAAAAGAGCAATTGAGAGACCAATTGGACATTATCAGGTCTTCCAGCACATACATAATGGGAGTCCCAGAAGGAGAAAAGAGAAAGAAGGGGGTTGAAAGAATATCTGAAGAAATAATGACTGAAATCTCCCCAAATTTGATGAAAAATTTAAATCTGCACATTGAAGAATCTCAACGAATTCCAAGTAGGATAGATTTTAAGTAATCCACCCACAGACAAATCACAGTCAAAAAACAAATACATAAAATCATGAAAACAGCAGGGAAAAAGTGAATTTTCATATACACAAGATCCTGAATACTATTAACACCTGACCTCTCATCAGAAACCGTGTCATCCCCCTGCTCTCTCTAGCCAGGTTGGCCAGTTCTTATTGGACATGATTAGCTCTGACAGACTCTGTTGGGCTTGTGTGTCTGCTTTATAAGCCCTGTGTTTCCGATTTTCTGTGGCACAGCTTTTACTTGTAATGATGATATGCCTTATAATCATCCTCATTGTGGCAACAGACATGCTCAGACTGGCTCTGTTAAATCTTTTCAGCAGTGTCTGGATCTATAGATGATGAGAGTCAAAAGCCTCTTTAGTTAAGATACCCCACTCAACAGGGTAAGACTCATTATGACTTCCTTTTGTGTGTAATGATACACAGGTGAGCTGCTGAGAGGCATGTGGGATGCTGTAGTTGCTAGTTTGGTTTCCTTTTTCCTATTGTGTGCAAGTCTTTTATTTGGCTGGATTGGTTACCTAGGAAACAGCTGCAGGGTAAAGATGGATTGGCTGTTTGAGAAATGGAATTATAGGCCCCTTACAGAAGCAAAAGACCTGTTGGATGAAACAAAACAAAAATCAGTGAATGGCTGAGCTTGTGCCTAATTATTAATTAGCGTGCTTTAGGAAATTACACCAAGACAAGGTATGTAGAAGAAACTAATGCTATGTGATTTTAAATTTAGGTTGTTTTTCATTCTTTTAAGTTCACCAGTTGCTTATTAATTCATGCTTCGTGCCCACTGCTGCAGGCCATTCTGGGGGTTACCAATGAAGTAGAAGGTTCAGTTCCTTCCTAAAAAACCCATTTTCTGTTTGAGGTTAAAAAAAAAAAGTTAAAATCAAGTACATGATTGTGTGATGTGTCCTGGGAATTTGGAGGATATAAAAAATCTTGGCTAGTCAACATAAGAGATGGATTTGAATCTACAAGTAGGAGATAATTCTTTGAGGTAGAGGATGAGATTTAAAGACCGGTGTGAGTTTGGGTACTAACAGTACCTGAATTTACAAGATGTAATAGCAGCACAGGTACCTTTACAGATCCCTTTCCCCAGACAGCTTATGGAAAATATGTGACTATGATATAAACTATGTTGACCTAGAGTCTTACTCATGAAAAAGAACTTCAACAATGTTGACTCTTTGTACTAGCCTGTATGATTTATTTAAGGAAAGTCTATTTTCACTGAAAGTGTGACAGAGTATTAGTTTTTGGAATCCCGACCACCATAACAATGCTGGGCACAAAGACATTCAGTAATTCACAATTTTGTGAGATGATTTTCTTATATACAGCATATCTTATGGCTATCAGCTAGCTTTAGCTTTCTTTTCTTCCAGAATGTAGCTGCAGAGTATTTGGTCTCAATTTGTGGTAATACGGACTTTTGTAATTACAGGAACATAATTCTTCTTTTAAAACTGAACATCTGTCAGGCTATTTCCATATGCTTTGTGGAAGGGACAGCTCTCATTTTCATTTCCATTTTCTTGTTCTATTTCTATTCACCTGGTGTGGTATGCCAGTCAGGAGGGGAAGCAGGAACGATCCCACTCAGAAAGCTTAACAATCTACAGGCACAGGAGGTTATGTTAAATTTGAACCCTAACGCTGTTTGCAATGTCCATAAATGGAAAGTAAGAGGTAACATAAGATACTCAGAAAAATTTGAAGGAGAGATATTTTAGTTATGATTTACTGAACCTACAGTTTTACATATTTGCCAGCAAAAAGTAATTGTCAAATGTAAATCTAAGTTCATTAATTATATAGTTACCAATAAAACTCTTTGTATTTTAAATTAAGTTGTAAAGAAAGTTACTACTGTAATCAGAATCCACAATATTGCATTTTTCGGAGGATAGTTCATTGCCTGTTGTCTATTTTTATAGCAATTACAGTTTTATAAATGGGATAGGGACTATAGAGGGTAATTTGTTAGAAGTCTTTTGCTGATCGGGCTCCCTGCTCGCGGGAAGCCTGCTTCTCCCTCTCCCACTCCCCCGCTTATGTTCCCTCTCTCGCTGTGTCTCTCTCTGTCAAATAAATAAAATCTTTTAAAAAAAAAAAAAAGTCTTGCTGAATGATCAAGAGTAGTTTCCTATTCATTCTTGAGCACTACTGTGAATACCTTATTTCCAAAATTATAATAAAATGCTTTATCATAATAAGACGCCCTCTGTCCGCCAAGTTTTCTTTTCAAGGAAACTTTTTAGTGTTTCAATTTAAAAACAATTATTCAACTTCCTGGTGCCTACTCACCCCTACCCTTTGCTTTCTCTGGTTCAAGCAATTACTGTATTTTTTTTACTATGATAATTTTAAGGTTGGCAATTAAGCGTCAAAACTTTGAACTGATTTACTTTTCTTTGACCTACTAAGTGAGCTCCAAGCAGCAGCTAGAAAGAGGGATAGTGTGTGGCATTATTATGAAGGTTTGCTCACTTTCTATTCCCCTCCAAACCCCCATCTGCCTCCATCCTGCCAGAGATGATCCTACAGTTATAACATTGTTTACACCTTTGCAGAGATCACAAGATGGACCTAATTATTGGATGATTTGAGAGAAAAAGGTACTCTTTGAGTACTCTTTTTCTTCCATTCAACCAAAAGAGTCAGAATTAGCATTAGAGGGGGAGAGTTTTGAGAGAACTGATCTTTTGCTTCATTTTCTTTGAACACATTGCTTTATTTCTAAAAGTGTATCAGTGGCAAAACTCAGGTTGCAGGAGAGCCCCCTGCCTCCAGCAGCCCCACCTACCCACGCATACATCTGTATACACACATCCAGCTCTGCTATCTGCTCCCACCAAGGCAGCTTCCCAAAATGCCTCTCATTGGAATTTTACTGACTGTCCTCAAAAAAGGTACTTGTTTGTGGCAAGTGCTGTGATTTTGAGGTTAATGTCTTTTTGTTGTTGGTGTTGTCATTATTTTTGTTCCAATTGAGAAAATAAGACTAAAAAAAAAAGCGGAAATCTGTTATGTTCCAGAAATTTCTTATGTTTTAGGCAACAGTGATCCCATTTGCAGTTGCTCTTTTTCACTCAAAAGTAACATTTTAATTGTTCTTAATGGGGAAGAGAATAAAATAAGTATTTTTGCCATATCTAGTTTTCTGTAAATTAATTCACCCCAAATTTGATATAGAGGGGTTCCCTGGGTTTGACATAAGAACATGTTTATGTGAAAATAGCACCTGATGTTTTACAAAAATCACCATCCTGGTCTTTAAATGGGAGAGGGGGCATTTGAAAAATTACCACTAATGCCTTTATGCTTTTCTGCTGAAGCATGCTAGTAATGGTTTAGCAATCTGAACACTTGTGCATTGCACAGAAATTGTTGAACTTACCACAAGGAGGAACCTACTAGTTTCCCAACATTTTCATGAATTTAATGGAAGTGTTTATATTATAATATTCTTAGGCCTTTTTTTTAGATTTTACTTATTTATTTTAGAGAGAGAGGGTTCGCAAGTGGGGGGAGGGGCAGAGGGAGAGGAAGAGAGAATCTCAACCAGACTCCGTGCTGAGTATGGAGACCAACATGGGGCTCAGTCCCAGGACCCTGAGATCATGACCTGAGCCGAAACCAAGAGTCCGACACTTAACCAACCGAGTCACCAAGGTGCCCCTATTCTTAGGCCTTTTAACTTTAATAAAATATATTCGTTCCAATACTTAATCCGTTATTTAATTTTATCTATATATTATGACTGACATATTTCAAGTTTGTCTTCAGATTCCTGAAAAGTGTTTTTCTCCTCATCCAAAATCAAATAATACGCAGTAAGTCTTGGATCTGAGAATAGAAAAGTTCCAGGTCTTTCGGCTAATATGTAAGCTCAGCAAGACCAGGAGCCTCACCTGTCCTGTTCATTGTTATTTCCCTGGAGCCCAGAACATTGCCTGATACAAGTACTCAGAAAAGTATTTGTTTAATGAATGACTGAAAGAACTGCGTTTGTGGTTTTTGCGAGTTTTTTTTAACTTCACTTTGTATGTTAAGTATGACTACATTGTGAACTACAAGGGAATGCTGAATCGTGAGACTCAGTGGAATTAAATGCCTGAGTGACCGACACAGAAATAAGATTTAAGGACTAAAGGGGTGTTGATGGGGGATATTCCGTGGGAATGCCAAACCCACTAAAATACTCCCACCTTTTGCATCTCCCCAGGAGCACTCACTGTGGGCCTCGTGCGACAGTGTCAAACAATCCATGGACGAGACCGGACGTGCATCCCACCTCGGCTTCCCCCAGAGTGGGTCACCACACTGTTTTTTATCATCATGGGAATCATTTCATTGACTGTCACATGTGGTTTGCTGGTGGCTTCCCACTGGCGGAGAGAAGCTACAAAATATGCTCGATGGATAGCATTCACTGGAAGTAAGTAACCTGTGCTTACTAAATTTGTCTAGAAGGCGTGCACACTGGTATTTTAATGAAGATATCAAGAATCAGTCATAAGGACTCCATAATCATCAAAGAGCACCACTTGCTGTGGCCGTCATATAGACTCTACACAGTCCCATCAGTTCTTCAGAATTCTCACCACAAGACCAAGACATCCAAAACCTTAATTGCTTTGTATGAAATGCTATTTTAATGAATTTTATTTTTGCTCACATTGTGACATAAGCGTTCCAGGTCTGTGGCTCAGAGCTATCACTAACCTGAGTCTTTTACTCTTCTTGAAAGTATTGGTATCCTCTACCAAATAAAGGTAAATCTAGAAGAAAATGTATGGAAATATAAATTAGATTAAGGTGGTGATTTGCTTTTTAATATCATTAATTTTGAGTTTCTACTGTAAGTTGTGTGACCATTGAAAAAACCAACACATATGGTTGTTTAATAGTTATTTATCAACATTTCATACTCCATTAAGCTATGCCCCAGGGTATGATACATATTATACATTCTCTTGTACTCTACAAAATTGGTTTAATTTCCCGACACATCAGGGGATTTTCCCAAGTTAAAAGCAGCAAAAATGCACAAAGGAAAGATATTTCTGTAATTTTGTTTTTTTGCTTCTTTCTCTCTAAAGCACTTTTGTCCCCCACCCCCACCCCCAGGGGATATTTGTCGATGGCTGGAAACACTTTTTTATTGTCACGGCTAAGGAGATCTTTCTGGCATCTTGAGTAGAGGCCAGGGATAATGGCAAAACATACTACAAATGGAAAGGACAGCTCCCCACAACAAAGACTCATCAGGCCCAAAGTGGCAATAGGGCCCTCTTGAGAAACTTTGCTCTAAAGAACAGGATAACAATCCTTATACCAAATACCATGGGATTTAACTTCTAATTCAATGCCTTATAATTATATCAAGTTTGCATAAGTTTTAAAAAGTAAACATTATAACACGGCTTACTTTCACTTGATACTTTCATTTAGAACTTGTATGGTAGGGGTAAGGCATAATCCCATGAATCCCTATTAATGTTAAAGCTCAGTTTATCCTTAAAGACCATAAGATAGGGATATTAGTTCATGAGTCTCAGTTTCTGCCTATCTCTCTGTGAAACTCTTTAATGTATATGTTTCTGGGTCTGTTGTTTTATTTCTGTCTATACATCTCCCTTAATTTTAAAATTTAGATCAAGTTGACTTTGACTAAAAAAGTCTTCTCCATTCTTGTTAAGAAATGTGAAACAAACAGACCTCCTGAGACCATTCTTTTCTGAGTCATAGGGTCCACAGGCAGTTGCGGAGACAGTGCTGCTAAATTAATTGATGAAGAATTTAAAGAGGATCTTTACTCACAGATAACAATTGCTTATCCAGACAGAATTCATTCTTTAAGGAGTAAAATAAAGTCAAAGTAGGAGGATTTAGTTTCTGGATTTAGTTAACATTTGGGAACGCATATGCTCTGAATACCAAAGATCAAAATATAATTGAATAGTAACACTAGTTTAGGATGAGTTGAAGAAAGCATTGAAATGCTATGTGAGCCTTTGGTTCTTGCCACCCAATAAATAGAAGGAACTAGGGTTATCTTTTTTCATTTCCTTTCAACAGATACTTAAGTATATGTAGCTACCTCCAAATGTAATGTGTTTTTCCTTTATTTTTTAAAAAAATTTAAAATAGTAACTTTTAAAAATAATATGTGCATATGATACATAATTCAAAGCCTAGGAAAGGGTCATCAAGTGAAAAGTCTCATGTGTGGCTCCATTACCTAGCCATTCAATACCTCTTTGCTGGAAGCAGCCATTGTTAAGAGTTTCTGGGATTTCCTACCAGAGGTGTCTTATGCATGGAAACATATATGTATATGTGTGAATGTTCTATGAATATATATTCTATTTATACTATTCTGTACCTTGGTTTTTTAGCTCAACAATATACTTGTAGTTAATGTCATCTAAGTAAGCATAGGGCGGGCTGGGCTGCATTACTCTTCTCAGCTGCCTTAAATACATTAGTTTTTGTTTTTTGGGTTTTTTTAAGATTTTATTTTTATTTATTTGACACAGAGAGAGACAGCGAGAGAGGGAACACAAGCAGGGGGAGTAAGAGAGGGAAAAGCAGTTACCCACTGAGCAGGGAGCCCGATGCGGGAGCCCCATCCCAGGACCCTGGGATCATGACCTGAGCTGAAGGCAGACACTTAACAACTGAGCCACCCAGGCGCCCCTAAATACATTGTTTTTGTTACCAGAGCTAGTCCACTAGGGTGGCAGTCCTGAGAGGGATTTAGGTCCCCCTGGTATTTCCATTCAGCCTTTGAAAATGTACTTTATTTCTACTGTATGTATTTCTACTCCTCTTAAACTGTAGTTTTGGTAAAAATGTCAGGGTAACATTTTCTAATAGGTTTACACAGTGGGTAGCTCTCAGAGTCACACGTGATGCAGCCTGCCTGTGGGGGCAAGGGTAACAAAGATGTGTCTTTTTTTTCCAAGTCTGACCCTATCCTTAACTCTGCCACTGTAATTTACATTCCCATCTCCCAGGAAACTCAATATCTGACTCTTACCATCGAGAAATCTGTGCCATGGAAGATAGGAAGTGAGGCCTTTATAGGCTTATTTAGGACCCCAAATTTAATTGTCAACAGTTGATAGATATTATCAGCATTAATAATATTTTAAGATCTAAAGTAACCTCCCAGGTCCCAATAGCTTGAAAGAAAACTCATCCACTTTCATTAAATCTTCCCAGAAGTCTAGAGAACCTAACTCTTTGGTTTAAAAACCAGGATTAGATCAAATAGGAGTTTACTGCTTCCTTAGTATTTGATTAAGCTTTTCCTAACTAATTTGGAAAGCATTTAACTCTTGTAAAAAATTAAACTCTACTTTAAATATAATCATTAAATGATTACTCCCTTATGAAGGATAGATTTTTATTTTACAATAGAAAGTAGAAAAAGAGGAATGAAGTTGGCACATTAATTAACAATAAACAGTTGTAATATCTCTAAAGCACTTCTAAATTATATGTGCTTCTTGAGATTAGATGAGTCAACATTAAGAAACAAATTGTTTTTAAAGCAATAACTTTATCCCATTGTTTTTCTGTTAGATTGTGTATAACTGCTTAGATTATGGTTTCATTTTACTTACCAAACCATATTACGGCATAAGAACTGTTAGAAATTGGTGGCAGATAACACGGATAAGTGGACTTTGGCAGCACTAATAGTCTTCTACTGCTGACTGTACAACAGAAAGTCCAAAAGATCAATACTTAATATCTGAATTTTTCATTTGTTCTGTAGTAGGCACCTGAAAGAATCCAAATTCACTGATGTAACATTATTTGATGTGGTCATTGGCCCAAAATGAAGTAGGCTGTCTGTATAATATAAGATAATCCATCTAGGTGTTGCAAAGCAAACAAGAATGCTGATGTGTTCTGTAAACCAATGTATTAAGAAAATGTTACTTTTTAATACCTTGGATATTACCCTGGAGGTATTTCTTCCACAAAAATTCCTAATTGGCTTTTTAAGGACTCTCCTATTAAATTTGTTGATTGATTAACACAAAAATAATTTAGGACAAGTGTCAGCTGCTATGTTTATCCAGGACTTTGTCTGTATTCTTGGGGATATGTTTAACTCGGAAGAAGTTTCTCATTCAGTTAATAATGGAAAGCTTCACCCCTTCACATGCAGTGAGTATAGTAACCTGTTTTCACATTACACTGAAGAAACGTTTCTGCCTCCAAAGAAATTTGAAGGACTATGAACATTTGACCAATGTGCTTTCAAAAAGCATAAAATATTCTCTTGGAAAAGCTAGCCTATCAATGGGTAATTTGTGTTCACTAGGAAGAGTGTTTCTTTGGTAGCCCAGAGGCACAAGCGGTTCGCTGAAACAGAGGACTGTGGAATTCTACCCAGATGCTGGGTTTGCTGATACCTTTCTAGAAACATTTTAGCAAATAATATATTTCATTGTGTTTGTATACAAAACGCAAAGGAGCCCCCTCCACCCCATTTTAACCTGTGTACTCAGAAAACCTGAGAGAGATTTTATTTTTTTTTAACATTGTCCATAATGAGAGAGAACCACTCTGACAGTTTACTAATCATCTCAGAAGCCAGAGGTTCTTTCCACTAAGTGATTTTAAATCAGAGTAAGATCAATAGTACTATATTTGTTTGTACCTTTTCTCCAATTCCTTCTAATACCAACTGAGAGGAACAGAGAATTGGTAGAATAATAACTGATAATAATAATATGCAACATTTATTCAGCACTTACTATCAACCTGGCACTGTGCCAGGGACTTGACATTGTTTTGTTTATCCTTCTGGTATTTACCCCATTAGAAGGGAACCAGAAGCCTAAGACTGCACAGCTAATAAGTAGTGGAGCCAGAACATAGCCCCTCTCTGATTCTAGCTTGAGCCCTTAATCACTACGTTAAGTGGTCAAGTATAGTTTATGCACACACCTGAAACTAATATAATGCTGTCTGTTAAATATACTGGAATTAAAATTTTTTTACTAAAATTTTAAAAAAGAATAGTTTATATAAGCACTTAGTAGGTTTGGAGCCCTTTCTTAATTCTGATATTCAAAATCATCCTAACACTTATATAAAAGGCTAGCCCAGCTTTTACTATATTTAATTGTTAGGCTTTGGGGATATTACGTGATCTGTAGAAGATGTAAATCTTTTGACAAGTGGTCAATGTTTTAACAGGTTTGACCATGTTATCAATCCACAACCCTTCTTATAAACTTCCTTTGTGCCAAATTTTCATTGTTTTCTTAATCACAAAACCATGTTACTAATGTTGTGTTTTGGTTTGTTTTACAGTGATCCTTTTCTGTATGGCTGCCCTAATATTTCCGATAGGATTTTACATCAATGAAGTCGGAGGTCAACCTTATAAATTACCCAACAACACAGTAGTTGGGTCATCATATGTACTTTTTGTCTTATCAATTTTCTTTACAATAGTAGGACTTCTATTTGCTGGCAAAGTTTGTTTACCGGGCTGATGAATGTCTAAATTGCTCAACTCTTTTATTATTTTTTATTTTATTTTATTTTTTTATTTTTGGAGGGGGGAGGACAAAGCAAGGCATCTAAGTAGTCCTCTCATAGGAAGATGCTTAGATGAAACTGATGCTGAAAAGGAAAAAAAAAATGATTTGTTCTCACTATGCACTTTGGATTTAAAAACAAAACAAACAAACAAACAAAAATGAGAGCCTTTTCCATAACCAAATACAGACAATATTGACTAAATCTCCTGAGCATATTCAGGCAGTCAGGTCTGCACTGTGATAGCAACCTAGTGAAGGAGAATGCTTTATACTGAAAAGCATGTGGCCCTTTGTGACTCTGTTGTTCCGTTTTTAATGTCTAATGATTAATTGAGGGAAAAAAAGTCTAAGTATTTATGAATCATGGTGGACCAGAGGGTTACAAGAGAAGTTCATGTGGGGCTGGCCTCACCTCCTAAGAAATTAGTGTTCACAGCTTCCTTGTAATGCTATGAGCCTTTGGCACCAGAATGATTTGCTGTTGCATTACTACACCAAGAAGCCAATAGATCAAAACTTGTTTGCTAAAATGTCTGTAAAAATCCTGAAATTCCCTATTCTCTGTGTACAAAACAAAACAAACAAAAAAACACTAAGAAACATGTTGCGGGTGGGTGGGTGGGGGAAATATTCCTTATATTTATATAAATATATATATAATATATATATTTTGCTGATGCAGTATACAGTGTGTATATATGTGTGTGTGTGTGTGTGTGTGTGTGTAAATTTATATACACACACATGCAAACAGTTCCTGGAAGAGAACTCTGAATGCTTTGCTAGCAAAACACTGTGGTGTGCAAACCTAGAACTCAATAGAAAAAAAAAGCCATTTATCTGAAGGCTGCATAGTGGAGAGAGTCTTCAGTTTACCTCATTCTTTGTAGCAGCCCTTGATTTTAACAGGTTTTTGTAATAGGTACAAATAATCCCATACCTTTCTAGGTCCAATTTTAAGTTAAGCTAAAATTCTTTGTAGGGTTAATTTATTTGTATATGATAGTAGAAGGTAAGATCATGTAAAACCTTATAATTTGGGGAATCTGACACTATTTAAATTATTGGCAACTGTCGTCTGTTGTACAGAGGTTCTCTTCTTCTACTGGCTCAGTCTGTTACATGAATAATGCATTTTCTATGTTCAAGCACACAACTTTACATAAATACAAAGTTCACTAGTAATACCAATTTACAATATTTTGGCTATCTACAACACTAACTGCACTCTGCTATAAAAACTAAATTTATGTTCTTTTCATCTGTAAGCATTATTAATACATCTCCTTTATCAAAAACCTGAGCAATACAATATTTTCTTTATATGCTATATGCCTTTGTTTGCTAAAAGCTAACATTTTTGCATTTACTTTAAAGGGCTGTACTAAACCCACAGCTTTACATTTTTTCCTAAGAAGAAGCGTTGCCGCTAATCCTCAAATCCACAAATAGTTTTAAAATACAGTATTTCTCTTCTCCACGTTTCCATGCTTTCATATCAGTGCTTAGTTGTTTTTCCAGATGAGCACTATAGATAATCTCTTGTTTGAAATGTGGGGCAGGAGGCTCTTTCTTGGCAATGGAGCTGTTTTTCTTCTTTCTAGTGAAACCGGCAACCCAAATGTCCCAGTAGAGTCCCATGTAGTACATGCTTCACACAAACAGAAATGAATGCACTGTTTTTTTTAAAGCTCAGTTATAAATTATAAAATGATTACTTCAGAAATGGGGCTGCCTCCTCAGATATTCAAAGTATAAAATGGAGGAGCCTGATGTGTTTCACACTGGCTTGTTTGACATTCATATATCTTACTGTTAATTCAGCAGTATTTTATTGTGAAAGAAAACCCCAGTGTTTCAGCTCACTCAGGAGTCAGGGTAAGAGGTGAACCACCACTGTGGTGCATTCCTTGAGTGTTCTGGGGGAATGTCACACTTTTCCTTCCCAGGGTCAAAGAAGCCTTTTGGGAAATGACTGAAGGAGACTATTTTTCCCCAAGTATTACGATGTCTAGTTAATTCTGAGAATACCACTGGACGTGTTCTATGGACATTTGGGATTGCAGTTCCCATTGTGATTTGATTGGTCCTCAGTCAAATGGATCACTTTGAAGGAAAGTTTTGGTTGTCACCATTATACCACTGAGATAAAGTGTTAGCAAAGTATGGTTCAAATTAATTTATGATATGACCAAGAGCTTTTCTCTTCCAAAAGATGAATTTTATTGTAAATAGTTTCTCAAAATATTTTTAACTGGATCATGAGCATGGGGAGAGAAAGTTTCTCAGCTGCTAAGAATTTCCCCACTGTTTACTTCTTTCACTTACAGTGGTATTGCGTATAAGATTACAAAATTTAAGGTTTTATTTGTATCTATTACCCAAACCATTAAGTTGTCTTTAATTTCATCATTGTCTTGGAGGTCCAGTGCATAAAGGGCTGCTAGGGGAACATTCCCTCTAACCAGTCAGCACTCTAACCCAGGATTGAGACTGTCCCATTGAGTGGTATGTGAAGTCAAATCTTTGTACTCTTCCAGACCAAACAATGAAATAGATTCATTCATATAAAATCCTATAAAACCTGTAAGTGAAAAGATAGACAACTGTCAGCAGTTGCTTTTAAAAAGGTCACTATAATGAGTACTATGTAGTACAATATTAATTTATAGCAGGAAATCATAGCTTGTAAACTGTATATAAAACACTGTTTTATGGTGCAATCATTTGTCAAACTTTTGTCTGTTACGTTGTTTTTAGAGTGTGTGCATTCTTCTCATACCTAAGAACATCACTGTAAAATCTGAAAACTATAGGTTTTATTTGCACAAGACTTAAACTAGTTTGAAATTTTTGGAAGCTCCTATTGAACATACCTAAATATCTGTAAACATGAAAAATCTTCAATTCATTAAAAGCAAACATTTCAGTATGATTCTTTCCAAAGGTAATCCATGTTCTATGTTGTTAATGTGTGTATGTAATTTTTCTGACTCTTCTTATCCTATTTTCCTTCCATTTGTTTTGAAGGATGGCTCCTCTTTTTTTTTTTTTTTGTTTTTTTAATGTTCTAAATGACCAAAACACTTCATTGGTTTTTACCCTTTTGCCTAAAGCTTTGATATCCCTGCTTGACATTCTGTGAATTCACTGTTTAATCTCTTAAGTAAAATAATAGCCCTGGTGACATACAGTCTATTGATTTAGAGGAAAGACCCTGAAAAAGTATTGGAAACTAACTTTAGACATACTCTTAGCTATTATTTCGCATCGTGGGCTTCATGGGAAGAACATGTTGCATTTATTTTGTCTTTATTAAAAGACTACTAGCCACAAGTTACTCTGATTGTAGTAACTGTTTTATCAACCCACTTTGATCTTCTTTTAAAAATTAAATTTACATTCACAGTTCAAAACAGTAAGCTGTCTTTCAGAACTAATTTTTGAAGGATAAAAATATATGAAGGAAAAACATGGCCTGTGTAGGTTGGATTCCCTACACAGGACTTAGTAGTTGTATCACCTCAAGAGATTTTAGAGTTTGTGATCAAGGTCTGTATATTACCCCAAATTTTATTAAAAATTGTTTTCTAATTGGTTATAACATTTTTCAATTAATAGTTTCAAAACAAATTGTTAATACAAACTGTATAAAATGAACATAATTTTCTTCACTTGTATTTTTGTTATTGAGCAAGTTTATCAAAATAAATTGTCTACTAAAGAAACTAAAAAGGCTTCTATTGCTTTGAAGTAAGCTTTGATTTTAAAAATTCACTTCAGAAGTTGATTTCTTACAGAGGTTTTACATACTCACACAATGACACTGTCATGTCCCTTGGTTTTGTTTTGTTTCAGCATCAGGCAGGGAGAAGGTCTCCCTCTCTTCCACTCCCAGCTCCCTCCTTGGGAAGAGATGCCAGTAATATTCCAGAATATGGATTAGGCCATGTTTACCAATAAGAAGAGTCACTCAGCAATAAAAGACCACACATATGTGGCTCTCTGTCTTCTGCATCATGTTTTTATGAACTGAGAGAGAGCCAAGGCTCTCAAAGCCAGCCATCTTGCCTTTCTCCCTCACACGTAGACCTAAGGCCATTCATCTTTGCTCCAGTCTTACATTTCTACTTCACTGCAGGCCAAAGGATCTTAGCTTCTAAAATTTTAAAATTTGAGTTGAAGGAGAGGACAGAGGCCTTAAGTCTCTAGACTCATCCATGTGCTCCATCACAGCTTTACTGTAGCTTTCTCGAGGGGTCTCAGGATTTAGCCCAGCCAAATAATAACTAATAACCAATTAAGCACCACATTTACCCTTTGCTGCTGTTTATCCTTTATATGGCCTTTACAGGAACCTCGTGGGGAGTTGGAAGATAAAGACAAAATAGGAATTGGATGTTCTTGAGTTCTGGATCATAAAGGCATCTTCTTAGGGTGACCAATCATCCCCATTTGCCTGAGACTGAAGGGTTTCCTGGGACATGAGACTTTCAGTGCTCTAACTAGGAAAAATCCAGGCAAAAGGGATGAGCTGATCACCCTATCTTCATACCATCCAAACCTATACTGATATATAACACAGATGAGAGATATTTGAAGAGTTCTATAAATATTTCTGAAAGGTCAATTGGAAATTTGTAATGGTAGACTTATACAACTTCTAAGAGAGTGGGAGAAAACACTTTTCCTTCTCTTTGGTAATACCTTACGAAAAAACAGACTAACTTTATTTTTTTTTTTTAAGATTTTATTTATTTATTTGAGAGAGTGAGAATGAGAGATGGAGAGAGAGAGAGCACATGAAAGGGGGGAGGGTCAGAGAGAGAAGCAGACTCCCTCCTGAGCAGGGAACCTGATGCAGCACTCGATCCCGGGACTCCAGGATCATGACCTGAGCCGAAGGCAGTCGCTCAACCAACTGAGCCACCCAGGTGCCCCAACAGACTAAC